CCAGTTCTGGGCCACTGCTTGTGGCCATTGCACCGGCTGCCAGCCCCACACAGCGACACACGTGAAGCCAGGAATTCCAGTCCCTGCTGGGGCTGGTGGCTGAGAGCTGGGGCCAGGATCCAGGTCTTCTGGGTTCAATTCTAGCCACTTGGTCGAGTAAGTCACTGAACCTCTGGCCTGTTTCCCCCCTACAAAATGGGGACAGTTGGCCTCAGAGGGCCAGGCTGCCATCAGTGCCAAGGACAACCCTGGCATGGTGGAGGCCGCACCCAGTCTCCATTACTCCCATGGGGGATGGAGAGGTGGTCCTGGGAGTGCAGAGAGGGCATCCCTGGGCTGGGTGTGGGGATGGGAAGTCGGCACGGCGAGGGCAAGGAGGCCTGGCTGCGTCGCACACTGGTGCCCGCGGGTCTCTCCTGACTGCAGCCCGGACAGCAGGTGCAGAAAGGGAGGTCAGGCCGTGAGAGGTGGCGGCAGAGCAGGCCGCAGGCCTGGCAGGAAGGGTTTGGCAGGTTCACGTCAGGCTGTGACTGAGGAGGATAGTTTTCTAAATGAGCTTCTGATAATGAGGGTGGCGACAGCAGGGCCGAGACAGGGTGGCGCTATCAGAGTCGGCCTGAGTGGTGCGCAGGGAGAGCAGGTGTCCTGGGAGGACAGCGGGACTCGAAGCCTGGGACCGGGACGTGGACGGAGGCGGAGACAGTGGAGGCAGAGGCTTTGGAGTGGCAGGGGCTGCCAAGAGCACCCTGTGGCTGTGGTTCGGACACCCCAGTGCTGGCGGTGCCTGGCACCCTCCGGGCAGCCAGGAGAGCAGCTTGGGCCCACCGGGGTGGTTCGCATGCTGCTGTGAGGCGTTTGGGGCCGCGGGGGCGGGCTGGGCTGGGCGGGGAGACTCAAATCCCGTCAGTGCCGTGGGTGCCGGTGCAATTGCGGTGAGGCACCCCGAGTCACCTCAGGGCCCACTAGTCCTCTGGTCCCGGGGCAGCTCTGTGGGCCCTAAAAGGGCCTCTGGGGGACCGCAGCCCCTCCCCCACCCCACCCCCCATGCTCAGCAGTCCCACTCCTCCCACCTCATCCCTGCCCTGGGGACCTGGGCAGCCACTCCGGGCTCACTGGTGTCTCTGTGGAGGCTGGAGCAGCCCTACCCACCCATCCAGGAGGCTGAGGCTGAAGGCGGCGCGCAGGTCCCTCAGACCGTACAGACGGGCTTTGCTGGTCTCGGCGTGATGGCCAGGTGCAGACCCGACAACTGAAGAGCTCCTACCGCACGGGTCCTTGTGGGGCTTACAGGGAGCGCGCCAGAAACCCGAGGGTGCCCCAAGCCGGGGGATTGAGTATGCCACCTCGTGGAGCCCAGGAACCCCAGGAGGAATCCCAGCCCCTGACCTGTGCCGCCGCCCTGGGGACACTGCTTTCTCATCCCAAGACAGCCCGGCAATGGGGCAAGCATCCGGACTTCGCCCTGTGACCGCTGGAGGTTGTTAAATGCAGAGGGGCGGGTCTGACCTGAGTGTGTGAGTTGGGGGGCTGTTCCATCCCCTTTGCATTCAGCGTGGACTTGACAGCAAATCCCTTTAGGAAAAAACCACCCGGCTGCTTCTTCCTGACCCTGCAAAGGCCGTGCTGTGGTTTCTGGTGCTTCATTAGGTCCTATTTGTTTCTTCTTTTTTTTTTTAAGAATTATTAATTTTATTTATTTTTATTGTTTTAAAAAAATGTTTTCTATAGGTCATGCACACTCACCAGAGAGAGAGAGGGAAAATGAGAAAGCAAGCCACCAGGTGTGGGACTTGAAGCCGAGTCCACCCCGTGGGAGTCCAGAGCCTTACCAGAGAGGCAGAGGGAGCGGCAGCCTGACACCAGCCCCTGTGTGGTGGTTTCATACCATCAGCAGGCGCAGGAGGAGCAGCCCAGAGTAACTTCCGCTGCTCTTGACAGCAGAGGCGAACGAGTGTGGGGGCCAGCAGATGGTGTAATGGTTATGTTGCTGGACTCCCACATAGTCAACCACAGTTCAAGTCCTAGACCTAGCTGCTTAAAACCCATGCCAGGCATGTGTGCATGCGTACCCAAGATCTCGAGGGGAGACGAGGAGAAGGGATTGCGGTGTGGCCATGCCCCAGGGGAGGGGGGTCATTTCTCATTTTCTGTCTCTCTCTGTTTCTCTGGCAAGCACACACGCCCTATAGCAAAATGAATAAATAAATAGAAAAGTGAGAGAGTGTGTCTGCTAACCCAGACGTGCTTTCCCGCTGAGCTCCCCGTGCCCGATCTTGGGGGAGTAGCCAGAGCGCCAGCTGTGAGGAGCCGCCACCACATTATCGATCTCTGTGTATACGGCATCCCTCCTGCACAGGTCCGAATCAGGCCAGAGGAGCCCCCATGTGGCCCACGGACTTTACGGAAGGGCCTGGCATCTGACCGATCAGTGCAGAGCCTGCTCTGAGGGGCACCTGCTCTGAGGGGCACCTGCCCAGAGAGCTGACACTTTGGCACAGGTCATAGCAGTGCTTGGCGCCCACGCCAAGTTTGGCGCCCACCAGGTAACACCCTGGGCTTCGTGCACAGAACTTGTTCTTTGTGATTGCTCCGAGGTGGGTGCTCATTTTACAGAGGGGGGAACAGGCTTTGTGGGGTTTCAGATCTTCCAGCGCACCCCTTTGGGAGGTCACCTGGGCCTGACCATAGAGCCTGAGCCCCCTTTGTGCAGAGCATTCTGGGAGACAGCAGTGCTCACCAGGCCAGGCCCTGCCTCGGGCAGTCCATTCACACGTAGAGTAGAGCAGGCTCAGCCTGACAGCTCGGCCCTAGGCCATCTTCCTCACTGTGTTCTTGCCACCGTTGTCATCGCCACCCCTTTATGAAGACCTTGGCTGTGCACCGGCATTCCACTCGGATTGCCACGTCTGTCTTTCCGAGTCTGCCAAGCACGGTGACATGCAGTTTGGGGATCAGGACTGCGCATCTGCAAGACTGTGGAAAAAAAAGCCCTTTCTCCCTTAACCAAAGGAATTTGCTTCAAGGGAATCCGCAGGCAGCACCTTGCACCTGTGTACTTAGGCTCTAATCCCTCTGGGGGCTGCATGCACTGGAGTGGGAAGGACCTTTTCCATGCCCAGGAGGACTAGCCTCAGGCGCCACACCAAAGGGGCAGCTCTGCCTTCAGGTTTTGCGCTTCCTGCGTAAGCACACCTCACCAGCTACCTCACCAGCTAGCGGGCATGTGGCTGCTGTGCGCTGAGCACCGAGTCTGTGCTTGCCCCGTGCTGAGTGCTTTGTAAACATCCAGCCCTCCTGCTGACAGTCCTGTGAGTGAGGGGGTCACCTCCTTCCAGCAGGAGCTGTGGCAATGAACTTAGGGCTGGCTGCTTGACTGGACAAAACAATTATGTTTTTTTACAGAGCCGAGAAAAGCTTAGCTGATCTCAGTCTGATTCCTTTATTCCACAGAGGAGAACTGAGTCATTTGCCTGGCATCTTGCTGCCCGTCAGAGCGAAGGCCGGACAGGAGCCTGTCTGTCTCCATCTGCTGCCCCCCGCTGTCTGCCATCTGCATGCACAGCTCGGCTGCCCACCCCAGCCTGCAGGCTTGGGCATGGCGCTCAGGCTCTGGCCCGGAGCTGTGAGCTCGCAGCAATGCTTGGGTTAGAACGAGAATTTGGAGCAATGGGAATATGAGTGGACCCCGGAATAATGAAGCGAGCTTTGCAGGCAGCTCTGCATACAGAGGTGGCTAGGACTTCAGCTTGCCCACTTGGAAGGGAGGCTCCGGTTGGGACGATGGTGGGCCTCAAAGGGCAAGAACCCCCACACATGGCTAGAGCAGGTTGGGTCCGGGAAGCGGGAGCAGCTCTGAGCTGGGCTGGCTGAGCTCAGGCTTCCTGGGAGGCACCCCCCCACCCCCCTACCCCCCTCCTCTGCAGAGCACTCCCTTGGAAGTGTGCCCGTGTGGCATCAAGGTACCCCTGCTGGTTCCCAGCGTGCTGTGTCCTCACTCATTTCATCCCTGTAGCGACTCTCCAGGTGTTGGGCGGAGGCATAGCCCCAGGGTCGCACAGCTGCCACCAGATTCACACCCAGGCCTTGGGGCCAGAATCTGCTCTGTCGGCCATTGTAGCTGTGGGAGGGTGGAAGGGTTTGACAGATTCTTCTGTAGAAGCTCTCCTGTCGCCTGGCAGCGTGCTCCTGGGTATTTTGCTATTTCCTTGCTGGTTCTTCCATCTAGGAAAAAAAAAAAAGTAAAGCAAAGTCAGGGGAAGCTCAAATGGGCTGTGTCTAAAAATCCAAATCTAACCTGGCCTCTCTTATCCTGCCTGTGAAAGGTGGGGATGCCGGCCAGTTACTTTCCTCTGTAAATCACAAGCATCAAAGAGTGGAAATCTCAACGTGCGCTCTGGGTTGAGGGCTGGCCGGCAGCTAAGCGGACAGCGAGGGGCTGCCATGCATCTTTGGCATTTAGCTGTCCCCTCCATCTGCTCGTCCACCCCCCAGGCAGGCCCCTGGCTTGCATTTCGCCAACATCTGCCCACAGCAGCTTTCCCTCCCTGGAGCCTTGACAATCCCCTTGGCTACAACTATTTATAACCAGCGGGAGGCACAAACAGTGGTTGACAGCCATATCGGCGTTTTGGGAGTTCTTTTATTTTTCCCAGGCACGTTAGAAATTCACCCGCTGGGTCTCCAGTGCTTTCAGTCTCCATGAGTTTGGGTGTTTTCACTCCTCTGCTCCCTCGGTCCCTCTTGGAAACGGAGGGCAGTGGTGGGGCGAATCTCGGAGACAGAGGTTTGAAGCCCTGCCGCTCTCTGAAGGGGTTTCACCCCGGCAAGGTGAGCTGCTTTGGGCAGCAGGCTGGGGGCTGGACCCCATGCCTGCTGTCTGCTCGTGGGCCCTCAGTTTCCTGTACAAGGAACAAGGTTGGGGCCACCCTGTGGCCTAGTGGTTTACAGGAGTCAGATCCTACATGACTGACTGCACTTCGAATCCTGGCCCTGGTAGCTTGAAAAGCACGCTGGGTGCGTGTGTGTGTACCCCAAATCTCACCTGAATGAAGAAATAGAGACGAGATTGCAGTGTGACCAGACCCCTCAGGGGGTGGGGGTCCTTTCTCCTCCCTTTGTCTCTCTAGTGAGCGCCCACACTCTGGCAATTAAACAAAAAGGGGAATGGGACTAGCAGATGGTGAAGAGCGCACCCTTGTGGCTGAAGAGAGAAACTGACTCTCACCGAACTTGGGACAAAACACCATTCTGCGTCTCTGCTCTTACGGTCTCTAGTGCAGTGACAAGCTTGTGACCAGGAGCTTGTGGCAGTCACCTGTGTCCCAGTTCCTCGAAGAACTGGCCTTTCTTAACACCCTGATTGCTCAAGTTTAAGTCCCAGTGGTCGTCTTCCCACTGGCCTGACTCTTGCTTTGGGACTGGCCAGGGGCTGTCCTGGCGTCACGCACACACACATGCACTTGGCATATTTTCTCAAGCCGCTGAGTCTGGGACTCGAACTGCAGAGCCAGCTGTGTGAGACCTGGCTGCCTGAACCACTGCACCGCTGGCCGGCCCCAGGGTCATGTTACTAAACGGGCTTGTTATTGGGTTGTGGAACCTCTGAGTAGCACTTCCTTCTCAGTGACTGACCCACGCCAACACTTTCCAAATACCAGGAGTCGCAGCAGCTCACGGAGGCCGTGGAGGGTGCTCATAAATCAAATCTAACAGGAGGGAGCCTGCTGCTTCCCCGTGTCTCCATGCAGCTGAGGGCCCAGCCTGGGTTCTCAGGGAGAGAGCAGTTGGAATGGTCGGGAGGCGGGATTACTTGACATGAAACTTGGAAAAGAGCATTCCATTCCGCTTTGTCAGCGTGACACAGCAGTCAGCGTGCTGGCTCTCCCCTGCTTCGAGCACTGCCCCCGATAGTGGATGCGTCGCCCACTGCGGCTGCCAGGCGTCCCCTGAGCTGCGGCAGGGCGAGTGGGGCACTTCAGGCTCCTCCCGTGCACATGGCCCTGCCGCTTCCCGCCTCCTGGTCCTGCCACCCAGGGCCACTCCTAAGGCCAGTGTAGTGCCCAGGGCACCAGGACTACCTGGCACCTCCCAGAAAGCGGTCGTGAAAGCGAGTGTGGTGAGCACTTCTCTCCAGCCTCTGCTGCCTCTGTGCAGAGGGGCCAGCAGGGCGCGCCGTGGACAGCCCGCGGCTGCTCCCCGGCCAGGCAGGGTGTGTCCAGGGAAATAACCAGGGCTGTAGAAATAATACCGCATGCAGCCTATGACCAAGCACATGGGTGAGTGACTGGCCAGAAGGCAAGCGTGCATCTCGGGGTGCTGAGACAGAGCGCCCTATTATTTAGCTCTGAAGCCAGGAGAGCTGTCAGTCAGCAGTAAGGAGTCCTGGAGCAAAATGGCGGGCCGTAGGGAGGCAGAGGAAGCTTGCAGGGTGTAGGAGTTTGAAATTCTTCCGTCAGTGATTGGTTAAAGAAAATCACAAATCTGTTCCTGAAAGACATCAAAGAACATCTGTGCCTTACTCTAAGAGATAAGGAAGACTGACTAGGGACTAGCAGATGGCATAATGGTCACGTCACCAGACTCCCACATAGTTGACTGCGGTTGGAGTCCCGACCTCAGTGGTTTGAAACTCACGCCAGGCGCATGCGTGTGCATGCCCAAAATTCCAAGATGAGACTGGAGGAGAAGATTGTGGCATGGCCACGCCCCTGGGGGGTGATTTCGCACTTTCTGTCTGTCTCTGTCTCTCTGGTGAGCACACATGCCTGGTAGCAAAAATCTCTTTCTTTCTCAAAAAAGAGAAGGCATAAAAGCACTATTTTGGGGACAGGATTGGCACCCCACTACCACTGGGCCGAAGCAATCAGTTAACGTAGGTATGACTCCCTCAGGCTTCCTGGAAACAGCCTCGGAGTAGGAGGAAGCAGTCAGGATGTCCCCCTCTTGGACAAGGACAACCTTGCAAAGTCAGTATGACTGGGTGTAGTTGACGAATGAGAAAACTAGAGTTAGGAGAAATGAAATGTATCAAATTGTGCAGCGAGTTGGAAGTTGAAGGTGTCAACTCCCCGGATCTATCCACCCCACACCTGGGCTGTCTTGTGTATTTACCTGTCCTAGTTTTTCAGTGGAGAACTTATTTTTCGGAAACTGTATGTCAGTAGCAACAGAAACCAGGGAGTGGTGGTTAAACTCTGGAGAACCCCATTTCCTTTGTCAGAAATAACTATGGGGGGTCACGAGGCAAGGCTTGTGTCCTGCGAATCTCCCGCCAGCCGTGCTCTGGCTACCCCTGGGAGCGAGCACCACCACTCCTAATATCGGTTAAATACACAGCACGTGTGTAAGGCTGCCAGACAGCGAGGTTTCCATCACAATGGTTAAAGCAAGCACGTCCTGATTTATTCACTAATAAATGTACAGTTATCAAGTAAGGGGTCCTCACTCGGCTGTCTTTCCCGGATGGGATTCTTCGGCATTTTAATTACAAAGTCACCTAAACGTAGACGAAAATGGAAGCCAGGAAACTAGCCAACCCCTGTAGAAAAGCCCTCTGTGCCCCCGCTCCCCATGGGTACTGACTGACTGCAGCCACTGGGAAGAACGTGTGTCTGCCCAGGAGAATGGGGCGCCTGGGGGGGAGGTTCCCAAGTGACAGCGGCCTCCGCTAGGCAGCACCTTCCCGGACGGGCAGGGAGGGTGGCCCTGCGCCGAGCCGGGCGTGGGGTGCAGCACACAGCGCTGGGCCCGTCTCGGTTTCAGGTCCTACACGAAAGATGCCCCCCAACGCGAGCGCCGTGGACTTCTTCCAGCTCTTCGTCCCTGACAACGTGGTGAAGAACATGGTGGTACAGACGAACATGTACGCCAAGAAGTTCCAGGAGCGGTTCGGCAGCGACGGGGCCTGGGCAGAGGTGACGCTGGCGGAGATGCGCGCCTTCCTGGCCTACATGATCTCCACCAGCATCTCGCACTGCGAGTCCGTGCTCAGCATCTGGAGCGGCGGCTTCTACAGCCAACCCAACCCCGGCC